AAGTGTGACCTTCCTCCCATGTTTGGGCATACCAGGGGTTGTGACTTTATATGACTGGGTTCAAATCCCAGTAAGGGTGTGGCTAGCTGATGAGAGCTAAATAGCTTGAAATAGATCTATACTAGTCTCCCTTTATTTATTTATCAGCACAAATAAAAAACCACAAATATAACAAAGGCAACAGTAAAAATATTGGATTTCTGTCGTGATGGACTCTTGTAACGAGCCGAAGGACAGATGATGGAAGCAGTTAGCTTCCTCCCATAATTGGGGCTTACCAGGGGTTGTAAAAATCTTATATATATAGAACTGTTTCCTACTCCTGGAAACACCAAACCTGAAGTAGTCTGAAGCAGCCTGAAAATGACGAATGAGACTTCGTCGAAACGTCGCCAAGACATCTCCAATTCTACGTGGGAGAAAACCCGAACAACTGGAGACCTACATACTAACACCCGCGAAAACCTCATATATATATTTGTGCTGATAAATAAATAAAGGGAGACTAGTATAGATGTATTTCAAGCTATTTAGCTCTCATCAGCTAGCCACACCCTTGTTGGGAATCGAACCTGTGCTCTACCTTCCTCCCATATTTGGGCATACCAGGGGTTGTTTTTTTTACTGCTCAGTTTTTAAATTATTTACTGACATAATAAATTTCTACTGCTATTTAAATGGTGTGTGGTTGTCAAATTTCTACTGCTTTTTAAATGCGGTTGTCATCATTGCGCTTTTGTCATCATGATTTTATCATCATGAATTTGTCAGCGCTTTTTTGACATTGCGTTTTAATCAGCGCTATTTTGTCGGTGCGCAAATGTCTATCGTGCATTTGTCGGGTCACGCAAACATCATTAACCGGGTATCAGTTTCGGCTCCGCAGAATATGCCAAAATGTTGATCCTAATAAATGACTGGATTTCTTTTGAACTTTGTCTCAAGGCTCATAAATTAATTAGGTCATCTTTTGGAAACTTCATAGTCTGCATATCTTTCTGGAATGTATTCATTTTCTCCTGCTGAATAAAACTTTATATGGATCTTTGGCTTGAGGAGCTTATATCAGTGAAAGCTTTACTCAGTTCTTTAACACACCAACTTAAATAAAACAGCTTAAATTATATCTTTTTCAGACATTTTTGATATATGGCAGTGTTAACCTTGAATGGTCGATATTGAATGGTCGGGCACTTTTTCATAAAGTTGCATGGTATCCATTTGGTTGGAAGATGTTATAAAGGTGGCATTTTCTTTTTCCAGTATTCTGCAATGCTTCAATGTGATTTTTCTCGTTTGAATAATGTTCTTACACAACTCACAATCTTGTGTTAACAGAAAAAAAGGGAAGGTGACAGAGAAAGAAAGATTGGTTCTAGTAATGAAGCAGTTGATCAGTGTGGGATGTTTTTCAATAGATTATCTGTAATCTTTACAGATACAACATTTGAGAAAAATACTGATGAGCAGATAAAAGCAGATCATGTTGAAAAGCAGGTCATGCAGCTAAGGGTTACTCATGTAAGTGACCTCTCTTTTTGCAGTTTTACTATGGCAATACTTTTATATAATACTTTTAACACTAATAAATTTATCTAATTATAAATCTATCAGGATTAAACTGATTGCCTCCAATCTGAATCTGGTATGAATTGTGAACAGAATTAAAACTTGGCAAACTTGATTCATCCCTTGTACATTTACACATGTAATTTGCTACATACTAATCCCAAAATTCTTTGCCAAACATTTTGGAAACTTTTCGCTTTTTGATTTGATTTAATATGCTTATGTTCAAAATAGATGTACATGACTAGTAAACAAATCTATTGAGTCCAGTATTGATAGCGTAGAAATGAAGAAAAGAGCCACGTACAACTTCAATGGACAAAATGGAATAATAACAATTAGATTATTCTCTAGATTCCCTAGATTTCTTCTTTGCCTTATTCGCTAGTTGCACTATAGGAAAGTCACATGCTTCTCATGTATTTATATGAAATGATTGTGCAACTGAGGTTTCTTCTGTGGCTCAAAAGAATAAATTTCCTAGAGATTTGTGATGATAGTTTTTTCCACTATAATTCATCTATGAAACTTACACAATAGTAGAAACCTACCATATGCTGCTGTTGTCTATTTGTAACTAAATAGAAATCAAACAGTCTCCTGTGGATGTATTTTGTACATAGATTCTATTTGAACCATTTAACATTTCCAATAATAAGGAAACTGACAGATGAGGATATTGCCTTCCCTCTTCTTTTCTTCCTAGAACTCAAATCACTTAGAAACTATTTTTATAGAGTTAAGATAGATAACCTATAACCTAGATTTTTATAGAGTTAAGATAGATAAGAGCCAAGGTGGCGCAGTGGTTAAATGCAGCACTGCAGGCTATTGCTAGATCAGCAGTTCAGCGGTTCAA